GAGCTCAGTACTAGACTCTGTGGTTGACAGAATAGGCACTGAGCAGTAACACCACCTAGGGCAGCCTTGATAAGTGGAATTGCATGCTTTTGAGCCCACACATAACTTCCATTCCTACCAACAGGGCTGCTTTGTTCATGCGACCATTGAGCAAACACAGGGGTGAGTAGGAAAAAACGCTGACATATCCATAAAGTGCATCATTTTGTCCATTAAAAGAGCTTCCACTGCAGTGGTTTTCCCTTGTCAATATCCCATGGAGCCTAATTATCTTTTTTTTTTTTTTTTTGTGGTTGACCAGTACTGGAATCTGAACCTGTAACCTTTGTGTTTTGTTTTTCTTTTGTCCTTTTTGTGACCGGCTGCACCATGCTCAGCCAGGGAGCACACCGGCCATCCCTATATAGGATCCGAACCCGCGGTGGGAGTGCTACCGCGCTCCCAGTGCCGCACTCTCCCGAGTGCGCCATGGGCTCGGCCCTGACCTTTGTGTTTTAAGGCTGTGCTCTAACCAACTAAGCTGATTGACCAGTCCAAGAGCATAATTATCTTGGTTGTCTATGCTCTTCCTAAGAGGTCCATGTAGATGCCTTTCCCCTAGTTTTCCTTGTTCTCAGTCTTCCAATTTTGTTTCTTCCAAGTCTCTCACCATCCAGCCAAACCATTACCAACTGCTCATGAACCAATGTAGATCAGCAATTCTGGCCATCTTTTACTCCAGATAATGTGGGCAACCAAAGTGTACCACTTGATTTTTGACAACTGGGGAGATTTTCTTTCAGAACTATCCTTAGGTGGGGCTGTGGTTCTAATTTTGTGTGGCACCAGTATAATGTACAAGTCAGCTTGAATTTTGTTGTTGCTGTTCTTCAGTCAACTGGTTGTAAGGAACTCCCCAGGAGGGTATAGGCATGAATTAAGGGATAAGAGACAATACAAGAAAAGTTGGTTTCAGAGGAATCTGGGCCAGTGACTCATATAACTAACTCGTACCTGCTGGATCTGCTGACCAGATCCAGACTGACTTGATGATGGATTGTTCCTAAACAAGCTCAACATTATGCCTAAGCAGGTCAGACAACACTTGGTTTATGATGAAAGTTTAGTTTGAGTGCTCTAGGGAAGAGCCATTTTGTTTTATCTGGGTTTTTAAGCCATCAGTCAGGTGCATTGTTCCAAAATGTTGACTCAGGAGTTACTTATGCAATATAGGAAAGAAATTTTTTCCTTTTCTACTTCATTAGCCAGAGTTAGTTTCTGTTGCTCACCAATAAAAACACTGACTTGTTTATAATCTTTTTCCAGCACTGGGAAAAATAATTTAAAAGCCATAGATATATTATTAGAGGTAGTGATAACTGTATGAAACCTATCAGTACTTCTCAGAGGGATTCTGTAAATACAGGTGCCAATATTCTTTCTTTTGGAGGTGTTACCCGAATTAAATTGTAACCGCTCTTACTCTAAACTGAAACTAGAGTTCAACAAAGGCAGAGATAGGAGCAGCTTTGTCATTTCTTCTGGATCAGTTCTGGGAGTCCTCACTATTCCAGAGCACATTCCACCAGCAGGAGGATGTGGCCACCGCAGGATGGCAGTGCTCCCTCTCGCGGACTCACTTGGTTTTACACCAGCACGTGGGTGTGCTCAGAGCAGGGCTTGAGCTTGCCTCTGCCTGATTAGGTAAGAAACCTGAGACTCTTGGGGGCCAAAGGACTAGATGTATACTCAGTAAAGAGAACTTTTTTGACTGAGGAACCTGGTGCCATTTCAGGCCCCAGAGCTGAGTCTTCTGTGATCCCAACAAGGAAGAAGAATGGAGAACCTCCTGGGGAGGGCTTTGGTGATTCTGTGGCTGCAATTGGCCAGTGAGTTGGGGCTACTGGTGATGGGAACAGGGACCCCAAAGTTCAGAGCCCACAGGACTGAAGGGTAAAGTCTTCTTGTTAATTTGGGAATGTAATTTGAACCTGTAATGACTGACTTCTGGTCTCTGGATTGTTTTTCTGCTTAGGGGTGAACAGCCAACAAGAAGGGAATCCTCAGATCCTGAGCATCCAGGAGGGTCACAATGCCACCATGAACTGCAGTTATAAAATGAGTACAGACAACTTACAGTGGTCTAGACAAGATTCAGGTCGAGGCCCTGCCCTGCTAATTCTAATACGTTCAAATGAGAGAGAGAAACATAGTGGAAGACTAAGAGCCACGCTTGACACCTCTGCCAAAAGCAGTTCCCTGTCCATCATGGNCCCTGCAGCTGGTGGTTTGACACAAATTCATCTTCCTTTTCTCAGCACGTCTGTTTTTTACGTGGCATTATCTTGCAGGGCAGTTTGTCTTGCTTAACACATAAGCCAAGATTTTGTAGAAGATTCCACCAAAGGATCAAGAAACTAGAGGAACAGCTCTCTCAGCTTTGGTGTATCCCGGAGCAAAACCTGCTGCTGCTTGTCAACCAGCCATGCAGTTGGCTTCCTGCTCAGGACTTGTGATCTTGTTGATATTCAGTGAGTAACATTTATTGAAAACTACTAAGATGTTCTATTCCTTGGTTTCAGGGTGACCTTTAACCCCTTCTGAACTGGAGACTATCTGTCTCACTTTGTCAATATAGCAAGGCCTTTACTTTTTTTTTTTTTTTTTTTTTTTTTTAGAAACGACCAATGGAGACTCTGTGACCCAGACAAAGGGCCCTGTTACCCTCCCTGAGGGGCGAGCTCTGACCCTGAACTGCACATACCAGACCAGCTATTCAGCTTTCCTTTTCTGGTATGTCCAGTATAAAAACAAAGAGCCTGAGCTCCTCCTGAAAAGCTCATCAGAAAACCAGAAGGGGGACAGCAGAGGTTTTCAGGCCCATCTTGTTAAGAGCGACAGCTCCTTCCACCTACAGAAACCCTCAGTGCAAACGTCAGACTCGGCTGTGTACTACTGTGCTCTGAGAGACACAGTGAGAGGAGCTGCAGGGGGAGCTGAGCACAAACCCAGTGGGGCGAAGGTGGGGCCTGGGTGTGGGCAGCCCTGGGTGGGGGCGCTGTTTTCTCTCTCTGGTGTTCTATGCTGGAGCCTTCCTCCAAGTACTTCCAGCTTCGATGCCATAGAGTCAAAGAACTGTAGAGTTCTTGGAGGAATAGTGTAAGAGGAACCTAAGCTCTCCTTTCTAGAAATGTGTTTTTGGCCCAGATGTCTCTTTTTTCTCCCAATGACGTGTATTCCTGAGAGGTGACATTAACCGTACCACAGTTCAGTTGGTCTGCGATGAACTATTTCATAACCTGTTAATACAAATTCTGAAGGAAAATACGAGTGCTTCATGAACTAATATGTGACCTTGAGTCTAGTTCCTTTGTTATATACATCAGAGCAGGATTGTGAGTCTGGCTGATTTTAACTGTAGAAACTCCATCTCCAGTGACTGGGGTCTCTTCCCTTAACTTCTGCTTCCCTGTGGTTGTTCTAGAAATGCTGCCACCTAAGTAAGTTCTATGAGGAGAGCATCCTGAGGAGAGATTCTCCTTATGTCATGGGCA